TCTAGGGGCGGCGACGGGGCCGCGTAGGGGCCGCTAGGGGCCTCGAAGGGCGGTGACAGGGCCGCGAAGGGGCCGCGAGGGGCCTGGAAGGGCGGCGACGGGGCCGCTAGGGGCGGCGACGGGGCCGCGAAGGGGCCGCGAGGGGCCTGGAAGGGCGGCGACGGGGCCGCTAGGGGCGGCGACGGGGCCGCGAAGGGGCCGCTAAGGGTGGCGCGAGGGGCCATGAGAGGGGCCTCTAGGAGGGCTCGACAAGAGGGCGGCCCACGGGGCGCGCCTCGGGCAGAGGCGACTCGCGCTCCGGTCAGAAAAAAATTTCGATTTCAGTGGTGGGCCCTAGAAAGCGTTCCCACTAGGGAACCTGCTCTATACCATGTGAAGAAATGAGGAATGAATGAACTAGGAAAGAGGTGGGTACAAGTAGGAAAACCTAGAAATGTTGTACCCCATATTGTCTACCCCACTACAGCCTACACAGACTTTTGCATATAAGTTTGACACGCCTGTGCAACCGCTGCTATGCAGCTGCTACTTCTAGCTTCCACTGCCTGCCATGGCTACTACCACTGTCCTACGTTAGCGGCAGCCGAGTGCACAAGATTCTCTCTCGTTGCAGCAGCTTCGCGAGTGGGCTATCTGGTGGGGCAGCCCCGGTGGCGGAGCTAGCCATGCTAGGGCTGGAGGTGTTGGTGCTGGCGGTCCTCGTCCTCGTCGGCGGGAGCTGCTCTCGTCGCAGCAGCTTCGCAAGAGGGCTGTCCGGTGGGGCAGGCCTGGTGGCGGAGCCTGGTGTGTTACTACTGGAGGTCCCTGTGAGTCTACTCCTGCTGGTGGTGCCGCTGGTAGACGCGGAGGTTCTGGGGGTGGACAGCAGTGGCAGCAGCGTCCGCCGGAAACTCTCTCCCTGCAGCAGCTTCGTAAGTGGGCTATCTAGTGGGGCAGCCCCGGTGGCGGAGCTTGGGGTACTAGTGCTGGGGGTGGAGAGGCACCTGGTGGCATAGAGGCTGCTAGTCTTGGTGCTTTTTACTCGGCTAGCACAGGTGCAAAGCCTGAGGAGGCCTTGCACACTTTTACTCTCAACTCAGGCGCGTCTCATTGCTTCTTCCGCGACAGCACCACAGTCACACCGCTCACAGTTCCCGTCTCTGTCACACTGGCCGGCCTCTCTGGGGGCCCAGTAGCCGTGCGTAGCGCCACTGTTCTCCCTTGTCCGGCGGCCCCTTTCGGCCTCCTCACAGGTCTCCTCCTCTCGTTCGCTAGGAACTTGGTAGCTACCTGTGAGAGTACGACGGCTTATGCCAGCTATGCTTACTTGCCTAGAATTTACTATGCTATTTCCAGCATAAGCTTATTTTATGCATGCATGAATTGCTTGACTTCCTAGGCTAGGTGCTTTCCTATATTATATTATAGTTATAGCACCAAGCTAGGTTGCGTGCACCGAATTCTGGGCTTTAAGGTTGCCACCAAATTGCCTTCTACCGAATTCAGGAAGGGGACTGTTCGGGACGTTTCGCGATATTCGGAACCTTCGCGTAACACCTGGTTACTGGGCCTTATGTCGAGCCTATATATAGCCTCGTGCTGTACCCAGGTGATTCATTCAATTCACATTCTCTTTTCTGAGCTCGTTCCTAGATCCTATACTTGATAATCAGAGCCGGTTACACGCAAAGTTTTTGACCGCTTAAACCTAGCTTTTAAAACCGCGGAGGCGACGACAGAAAGCGTCAATTTCGGGTACGTAAACCAGTTCCGCGCTATTTTCAAACGTTCCCCTCGATCCGGTTTTCGAACACTCCTCAGGTCCAGTGGCGAAAAAGTTGGAATTTCGACCGTCACATCGACTCGAATCTCAATGGCCCTGAGAATTTCGTCCAAACAAGTTGGAATTTGGAGCGTCGAATCGAATTTCTTCTCAACGGCCAAGATCAGATGCAAATTTCTTTCAAGGGAGAATTACGCGACCTAAAGAATCAGCGCTCGTCATTTCTAAATTTGATTCGACTCGCAGTAAGTCGATCAGCGCATAGAATTCAGTTATTTTCGTCGCAAATCTTCTTCTAAATCGCCAAATGGAGGAAAATGGTGATAATTCCGTTCGAAAAATTACGGAGTTACACACCGACGTGGACCAGATGCGAGCGGCACTTCAGCGAATAGAGGAGCTTCTCGTGAACCAATCGGGAGCCGCCACGGCAGCAGCGAATGTAGCAGCAAATGCAGCAGCGGTGCTAGAAGCAGCAGCGGCGACACCGACACGCCACCCAGCAGCAACGGCAGCAGCTACAGTGAATCTTGAGGCGGCACATTCGAAGCTACCGGAGACATTTAATCCGAATGCGAGAGACACCGATGTCCGTCGATTCATTGCGACCTTCGAAATTTACTTCGAGGCCACTGGCTGTACGACCCCGACACATGATGCAATGCGGATTCGGCTCACAGCAACACTGTTACGAGGCCCGGCGCTCGAGTGGATTTACAATAGCACCGAGGTCCAAAGCTAGGGGTCATGGACGCAGTTTTGGGCAGCTTTAATTCAACGTTTCGAACCAATCAACTCCAGCTGTCAGAATGCCATAATTGTCTAGTCTGCAGTGGGGTACTCTATACTGAGACAACCCAAATTAACATATGTACAATATGTGAATATCATATCTATTTTAGGGTTTGCTATATGTATCATATCTGTTGCTAGTGCAATCCCTCTTCTTCTGTTCTAACTTTCTAGCTACAGTTCAAACATGTTATCAGAGCGAGTATGCTCTTGGCCTATGGGCCCACCTGCTTCCGCCGCTGTCCTGTCTGTCGCGCGCCTCGTGGCGCCCCGTTTTTTGTTTTCTTCCCGCCACGCACTCGGGGCGCATGGCGGTTTTCTGCCCGCCGCGCGCTCGGGGCGCGGCGGTTTACTGCCTCACGCGTCACCCCGGGGACCCGCGTGTCCCCCACGTCGACTGTCGCGTCGCCCCCGAGGACCCGCGTGTCCCCCTCGTTGACCGTCGCGTCGCCCCTGGGGACCCGCGCGCGCCCCTCGCGATCCTGTCGCGTCGCCCTGGGGACCCGAGCGCGGCCCCGCCATCTTGTCGCGCTGCCCTGGGGACCTGCGCGCGCCCCCTGTGCTCCCGTTGCGCCACCCCGTTGTGAGAAATGAACGAGAATGAATGCACTATGAAAGAGTTGGGTACAAGTACTAACCCTAATTGGGTTGTACCCCATGTAGGCTACCCAACTACAGCCTACACAAAAGCATAAGCTATAATGCTCTGACACCCGTGCGTCGTGAGGCTTCTTCCTCCCCGCGGGTGGCGAGTGTGGGGGTGGCGGGTGTGTGAGGCCTCCCCTTCTCCTCCTCCTCCTCCGTCTCCCACTTTTGCAGCTGCTGCTGAGGGGGGTGGGTGTGTGGGAGCCAAGGGAGTGGTGCTAGGGGGGTGTCGTTGTCAAACTTATATGCTATGGTCTGTCTAGGCTGTAGTGGGGTAGACACTATAGGGTACAACATTTCTAGGTTTCCTACTTGTACCCACATTTCCCTTAGTCATCCCATTCCTCAATTCTCACATGGTATGGAGCAGGTTCCCTAGTGGGAACTTCCTAGGGCCCACCACTGAACATCGATTTTTTTTTCCTGCCCTGAGATCGAGTCGCTCCTGACCGAGGCGCGCCCTGTGTGCCGCCCTCCCCTTAGCGACCCGTCACGCCGCCCTCAGCGGCCCTCCCCCCACTCTCGCGGCCCCTCCTCCACGGCCCCATCGCCGCCCTATCGCGGCCCCGTCGCCACCCCCTCGCGGCCCCGTCGCCGCCCTATCGCAGCCCCGTCGCCGCCCTATCGCGGCCTCGTCGCCGCCCCCCCCCCCCCCCCCCCTCGCGGCCCCGTCGCTGCCCTATCGCGGCCCTGTAGCCGCCCTATCGCGGCCCCGTTGCCGCCCTATCGCGGCCCCGTAGCCGCCCTCTCGAGGCCCCGTCGCTGCCCTATCGCGGCCCCGCCGCCTCCCTCTCGCGGCCCCATCACCGCCGTTCGCGGCCCTGTCGCCGCCGTAGCGGCCCTGCAGCCGCCCCTCGCGGCCTCGTCGCCGCCCTCTCGCGGCCGCGTCGCCGCCCTCTAGCGGCCTCGTCGCCGCCCCTCCGCGGCCCCTCTACCGCTCCTCAGCGGCCCCATCTCCACCCCTAAGCGGCCCCGACGCCGCCTCCTACGCGGCCTCGACGCCGCCTCTACCAAGCCGCCCAGCAGCAGAGCCGCCGAGCCGCCCAGCAGCAGAGCCGCCGAGCCGCCCGACAGCCGAGCCGCCCAGTAGCCGAGCCGCCCAGCAGCCGAGCAGCCGAGCCGCCGAGCCGCCTAGCCGCCGAGCCGCCCGACAGCCGAGCCGCCCAGCAGCCGAGCCGCCAAGTCGCCCAGCAGCGGACCCGCCGAGCCGCCCGACCGTCGAGCCGCCCAGCAGCCGAGCTGCTGAGCAGCTACCAGTTCTACCGACGCGCCCCGGCCCTACTTACTCGTACTGGTGAGCCCACTCCTTGCTAGACCTCTGCAGTCATGGCTACCCCCAGTGTTCTTACCTTTGACACTGAGGGCCGTGCTGTTGACTTTGAGGTCTCAGTCGATGACCTTCAGCTGTTCCTCTAGTGTGATAGGGCAGACGGCCTCTCTCTGTTTGACCTCACCTCTGGTGCCTCCCCTGCCCCGCCTGCTACTGCTGACAGCACTGTTCACTCATAGTGGGCGACACGCGATGCTGCTGCTCGTCTTGCTGTGCGTCGCCACATACCGACCACTGAGCGTGCACACTTAAGCTAGTACAAGAGTGCTCAGACCTTGTACGACGCTGTAGTTGCACGCTACTCTTCCCCTGCCACTGCTGCGCTGAGCCGCCTCATGCTACCGTACCTCTTCCCTGACCTTGCTGCCTTTCCCACAGTCGCTGACCTCATTACGCACCTCCGCACTAGTGACACTCGCTACCGCGCTGCGCATCTTGCTGAGTTTTGCGCCAAGAACCCCCCCCCCCCCCATGTACATCACCCTCTACTACATAGTCACCCGGCTCCCTGACTCTCTCCGCATAGTCAGGGACCATTGCCTCTCAGTTTGCCCCACCACTCTCACCGTTGACCTCCTCGAGAAGGGCCTCCTAGCAGCAGAGAAGAGCATAGTCGCTGTAGGAGCCTCTCGTGGTGACCCTCGCACCCCCGTCTTTGAGGGGTGTTCCCCCTCCCCCCTTTTGCCCTCTGTTGCCTCTGCTGCTGCTGCCGACCTCGTTGGTTTCTCCGGGGTCGGCGCTGCGTCTGCCCCTAGCGGGAGACGCCGCACCGGCAAGGGCAAGGGGGGCAAGGGAACTGGAGGGGCTAGCGGGGGTGGTGGAGGTGGTGGTGGAGGCAGTGGAGGGAGTGGGGTGTTAGAGACTAAGGACGGAGTCTACGAAGATTAGGTGCCTAAAATTCTCAAAATCGTTGGCTTAGAATTCTGGACAGAAACGTCGCGCTCACAAGAAACGCCGTCGACAAAACGTTCAAGGTCAAAACTTCACTAAACTTAGATATGATATAGCTCTACTCCGTGGCTACAATTCCCAAGTTGAATCATACAAAAAGATGAAGTATTTCTTGAGTTATCAATTTTGGCGCACTAGGGGATATGCTGCCATCGAATCTTAATTCAATCACAAAGTTCTCACACAAGTTCACAATTACTACACAAGAGAGTTAGAGTAGCACTAAACCAGGTGGAAGGGATGAGGAGGATGAGAGGGAAGGTCCCAAGAGAGTCCCTAACCAAGGAAACCCCATGCCACACAATTTCCTTCCCCATAGGCAACCCAACTTTGACCTTTGTCACTATCCCAACCTCCACAATCCACCTCAACCCAACTTGGCCACACTTGCCAACCTGGTTTGGTTTCACCCAACCACTTGGCAGCATCTACAGTGATGTTGACGAATTTCCCAACCCCCAAAACTCTGTACCCCATATTGAGTCAACCCCACAACTTCCAATAGTCACCACAACCAAATATGAAAAGCATGCGAACTTCAACGTTCGTAACTTTCTTGTTCGTGCTCCGATTGAAGCGATACTTGGTTCGTCGGAAAGCTCTTGAGCAGAGGAGTCACTTCAGATATCTGCTCAAGCCAAATAACATTCACACACACTCAGAAAATTCAAACCACACAAAACAAAAATTCTTGCACACGCTCACACCACGCATGCAACGCACGAACATATGATGGGAGGCAGACAGACGTGAATGCAAATGATAGCATCACATAACATGGGGGTGGTGGTGGGAGTGGTGGCGGGGGTGGCGGTGGCGGCGGCAGCAGTGGAGGCGGAGGAGGCGGCGGAGGTGGCGGAGGAAGCGGAGGCGGCGGAGGTGGCGGAGGAGGCGGAGGTGGAGGAGGCGGTGGAGGCGGCGGCGGCGGCGGCGGTGGAGCGGGTCGCGACTCTGCTCAGAGGAGTGGGTCAGGTGGTGGTCCGCCCCAGCAGCAGCAGCGAGGTGTAACCCTGTCCCCTCAGCAGCTTCGTGAGTGGCACGCTGCGCGTCAGCGCGGTGGGGGTACTGGTCCCTGCACTTACGTCCTCCGTACCGGCGGCCGAGCTGGTGAGCAGTGCGGGGGCCCGCACTCCACCCAGCGCTACTTCCTTCACCTGACGGATGCGTGGCGTCACCAGTTCCCTGAGGCGTCAGAGATCCCTCGCTGGGGAGATCTGTCTAGGGCGGGGGTTGCCATATTTGATCTTGACTATGATGCTATCCTTGCTGCCATGTATGCTGTGACTACTAGTGTTGAGGGTGCCTGTAACCTGTGTGTACCTCCTGACCCGGGCATTGAGGCCACTGCTCTAGGTGCTGGTGAGGCTGCTGCTCTAGGTGCTAGTGCGTCTGCTGCCCCAGGTGCTGGTGATTCTGCTCTCTCAGGTACTACGTCGGCTCAGGCCTTACACACCTTCACCCTTGGCTCGGGTGCCTCCCGCTCCTTCTTTCGAGACCGCACCACTCTTACGCCGCTCAATCGGCCGATTGCAGTCTCCCTGGCGGACCCCTCTGGGGGTCCTGTCCTTTCTAGCTTCTCCACTCTTTTACCGTGCCCGGCAGCCCCCTCTGGCACCCTGTCAGGTCTCTACCTCCCCTCGTTCTCTACGAACTTGGTGAGTGGAGCGGACCTACAGGATAGGGGGGTTGACCAGTTCACTCCTGCGAGTCAGCGGGTGACCCACTGCACGTGTGCTCGGACAGGCCGACACTTGGCCACGTTCACCCGTCGGCCAGGGTCGAGCCTGTACACCCTTACTACTGAGTCTCCTCCGGCTGCTGAGTCTGGCCAGGTAGCTGCGTCGAGTCAGGTGTTTGCTGCAGCATCCAGGTCTGGTCCTGAGTCTGCTCCCTGCTCGCGTCGTCTCGTGTCCCACCAGACTCTCCTCTGGCACCACCGCCTTGGTCACCCCTCCCTGCCTCGTCTCCGAGGCATGGCCTCCCGTGTCCTTGTCTCTGGTCTTGTTGTTGTGTCTGAGTCTGTCTGTCCTCTGTCCGTCGGGGGAGAGTGTGCTCTTAGCACGCACGTCCTTGAGGATAGGCAGGAGGAGTTCCAGTGCTTTGCTGCTGCTTCGCCCCATCTTGTGTCCACGCTGATTGCCCCTGAGGGAGACCCGGATGCACCACACATCTCGACTCCTCGATCGTACGCTGAGGCGATCGAGGGTCCCTACTCCTCTCAGTGGCAGTCGGCCATGGACGAAGAGATGGCTTCCTGGAAGTCCACAGGCACCTACGTCAACGAGGTTCCCCCACCTGGGGCGAACATCGTCAGTGGCATGTGGATCTTTAGGGTGAAGCGGCCGCCGGGTTCTCCGCCTGTCTTCAAGGCGTGTTACGTGGCTCGAGGCTTCAATTAGCGGCAGGGAGTTGACTACTTTCAGACCTTCTCTCCCACCCCAAAGATGACCACTCCTCGGGTGCTGTTGCACATAGCCGCTCAGCGTGACTACGAGCTTCACTCTCTTGACTTCAGCACGGCTTTACTGCAGGGCAGCCTGCACGAGGAGATATGGTTGCGCCGCCCACCTGGCTTCACTTGGTCGTTTCCTCCTGGTACCCAGTGGAGCCTCCGGCGGCCAGTCTACGGTCTCTGCCAGGCGCCCCGTGAGTGGCACAACACACTGAGGACTACACTTGCGGCTCTTGGGTTTGCTCCTTCTACAGCCGTCGTCGTTGTTTCTGCGCACCGACACCTCTTTGCCGCCGTTCTACATCCTCATGTACGTCGACGACTTGGTCTTTGCCACTGCTGACACTGCTGGACTCGCCCACGTGAAGTCCGAGCTGCAAAAGAGACACACGTGCACAGACCTGGGTGAACTGCGCAGCTACCTTGGCTTGCAGATCACCCGGGACAGAGCACAGCGCACCATTACCCTGACTCAGTCACACATGGTGCAGCAGCTCCTTCAGCGCTTCGACTTCACGTACTCCTCGCCTCAGGCCACTCCTCTGTCTACTCGCCACTCGCTCTCAGCTCTGCCTTCGGATGAGTCCGTAGAGCCGAGTGGCCCGTACCCAGAGCTTGTTGGCTGCCTCATGTACCTGATGACCTGCACACGACCTGACCTTGCATACCCTCTTAGCATCTTGGCACGCTATGTTGCTCCTGGCAGACACAGGCCAGAGCATATGGCTACAGCGAAGAGGGTGTTGCGCTACTTGTGCAGTACGCTGGGCATGGGGCTAGTGCTTGGAGGGCAACGTCGAGTGGTCCTCACAGGTCACGCTGACGCTTCTTGGGCTGACGACCAGGCTCTGCAGCGGTCGTCACAGGGTTACACCTTCAGCCTTGGCTCCGGCTCTGTTTCGTGGCGGTCTACCCGCTCGTCGTCGGTTCTCAGCTTCAGCTGTGAGGCTGAGATCTACGCGGGGGCCATGGCTGCACACGAGCTACGCTGGCTCACCTACCTGTTGACTGACCTAGGAGAGTCGCCTCATTCTCCTCCAGTTCTGTACGTAGACAACAAGGCCATGCTGGCCTGGTGTCGGGAGCACAGACTGGAGCACAGAACTAAGCACATTGCTCTTCGCTACTTCCTTGCTCGTGAGCTGCAGCAGCGTGGTCAGCTGCGCCTTGCTTATGTGGCTTCTGAGGCCAACACTGCTGATATCTTTACCAAGGCACTTCCGCCTTGTGATCATCAGCGCTTCTGTACGATGCTAGGTCTTGTGCCTACTTGGCCTCACTTGCTCACTTCTTGACCTTGCTTGTACTGTGATCTTGCTATACCTGCACTTGCTTGTTTACCTTTATATATGATCTTGCATGTGAACTGGCCTTTTGGCCTTGCTCTTGTGCTCGGATTGTGTGGTGACGTTGTGATCCACCCTGAGCTTGCTTTGCTTTGCTTGACTGGTCTTGTGACCTCTTGTTCTCCCCCACTTTGCCTATGGGGGTGTGTCAAACATATATGCTATGGTCTATCTAGGCTGTAGTGGGGTAGACACTATAGGGTACAACATTTCTAAGTTTCCTACTTGTACCCACATTTCCCTTAGTCATCCCATTCCTCAATTCTCACAGTCGTGAGAGTGGAGCTAGGGGTGCAGCAGGGGGTGTGTGAAAGGGGGTGTGAGACAGTTGGGGGAGGTTGAGCGGAGGTAGACGTCGTGACGTCAGTAGCGCCAGTAGTCCGGGGCCCTTGCTCCGGTAGCCCAGCGAGCTTGCTGCGCCAGTCGCCCGTGAATCCGTTGCTCTTGCTGCTCGTCTTAGCCGCGGAGCCGGTTACTCTTGTAGTCCAGAGCCCTTGCTCCTGTAGCCACCGTGTGCGCCACTCCTGTTGCCCGTGTGTCTGCGGCTTCACCCGTCGCCTCCTATCTCCACTCCTCGCACAGTCCCTCCTCCTACTCACTTGCCCTCTGTGACTGCCTCTAGCTTTGCTTGTGCTTGTGAACTTCTTATGCGACTGCTTGGTGTGCTGATCATACCCCACTTTGCCTATGGGGGTGTGTCAGAATGCTATAATTGTCCAGTCTGTAGTGGGGTATTCTATAGTGAGTACATCCCAAAGTAGGGTTTGCTATATGTATCCTATCTGCTGCTAGTGCAATCTCTCTTCTTCTGTTCTAACTTTCTAGGTACTGTTCTAACACCAGCTATATGGCGCGGCAGCAGATTCACCGGCATAAACAGTACGGCAGTGTAACACAGTACACGCAGCAGATGGAGAGCCTCTTCAACCGGATTACCGACCTGACCGAAGGGGAAAAAATCCAAGCGTATACTAAGGGGCTAAAGATGGAAGTCCGTCGACAGGTGATTGCCGCGAACTACAACAACTACCGCGACATGGTGTATGCAGCAGAGAGATTCGATGCGCTGACGCGAGGTCAACCCGATACACGACGCCACGTGCCGAACAGATCATTCGACACGAAACGATCAGCACCACCCACGACCGCCGACCCGATGGATATCGACAAGATCGACGCGAAGCAGCGGCCGACAAAATATGAGAAGTGCGAATTTTGCGGCATAGCAGGACATCGATTCTTGGCGTGTTGGAAAATGAAGAAGGCACGAGCGGAGCAGCAGGGCAACAACGATGCGGCACCCCCGAAGTCAAAAGACATGGCGACTTCGAAGCGAACGAAAAAAGGAGGACAGGATGGCGCGAATTTGAAACGCCACGATCGGTCGGCAACATGGGAAATCGCCGGGACAAATGGAGGCTCCTCGAAACTAGAATCTGCACCGACCGGGAAACTCCAGCCGAACATCCCCGGGAATATTTCCTCTCGAGGTTTTCAAGCCTTTGAAAAAATAAGGGGAGATTTTGAGGCCAAGAAAAAGCCTTTAGACATTGTTCAGGTACCTGAGAAGTTGGGTAAAACACTCCGGAGCGTTGAAAAGGGTCGTGCATTCCAAGGAGTGAACATTCTCTCCCCGCAGCACAGTTTTAAGGCTCCCCATTGCCTACGGGTGAAGCCTACACAGCTGCAAAAGGCTTAGGGGAAGGATCCAGGCCAATACAAAGCTGAACCGACTTCGGATAAATCCTTCTAACCCTACTCAGTTGAAAACTGATATGGAGTCAGCAGCTTCGAGCGCAGGACGTAGGGATGATCTATTCGACATACCCTACGATCCTATAAGCGAGACCATCTACGGTTACTCGGAGCAACAACCACTATTACTCAAGGTGATCTGCAACGGGCGACGCCTCCAGGCACTGGTGGATAGCGGTGCGTCTCACTCGGTATGCGACCGCAAGACATTGGAGAAAATTGGAGAATCTTTGGAGGAGATCAAGTTCACGGCAACGATGGTGGACGGTACGAAACTTCCCATCCACGGGGAAGCGGCACTGCAGCTGCACATAGGGGCGCTAAGGTGGAAGCCGACGTTGCCGATCACGAACATCTAGGGATTATATTTCATCTTGGGGTGAGATTTCCTGAAGTGGTTCAACCAGGCCTCTGGTTAACAGGGTGATTCACCCTTATGACCCTTACTATAAGGCTGGGTTTGACGATGCACCCTTTTTTATCAGAGTGGTCAACATTTTAACCCTTACAAGAAAAAGTGTTTGGTTATATCACACTGATATTTCAGAGTTATGTGGTGTAGTAACACTGATGATATTGAGTTAGATCTAACTGAGTAAGGTAAGATTACTCGCGGAAAATGCTACCTCGTTCAGATTTGCCTACTTCAAGTATCGAACTTAAATACGCGTAAATCCCCCTACGCAACTCACTACAACACCAAGAACTTGACCAATATGGAATGTTCAGCTACTTGTAGAAAAACCATATTATGTTTGCACCCTTACTAGAAAGAGTAGTTTTTGTGAGCACCCTTTCAGAAAAAGTGCAAGCGGGGTGTTGGCCTTACGTGAAAGAGTAGCTCAAAACCTAACCAGAGGCCTAGGTTCAACCCCAAGATCGACAGGGTCAACAGGAAGGCGTGCATCTACAACAACGGGAAACGAGTGGAGCTGCAAAGCTGGACGGATACAGGGAACGTTCATGAAACGACACTGGCACGGTTCAAACGGACAGTGAACGAGAGTAACACGGGTTACTTAGCACTGGTTATGGCAGCAGCCGATGAGGAGAAGCCGAACACAGAGCTACCTGCAGGAGTTAAGGAGGTCTTGGAGCAGTACAATGATATAATGCCCGACGACCTACCCACAGGCATACCTCCAGCGAGAACCCACGAGCACGAGATCGTGAAGGGACCAGGTGCGAAACCCATCTCACGTGCACCATACCGATTGAGTTGACCGAACTGACAGACATGAAGAAGCAGATAGAGTATCTACGGGACAGACAACTGATCCGCCCATCCACCTCTCCCTACAGTGCACCAGTTCTCTTCACTCCAAAACCAGACGGCAGTTTACGGATGTGCATCGACTACCGCGCACTGAACAAACAAACAGTCAAAAACAAATATCCCATACTGAGCACAGACGACCAACTGGACCAACTGCGTTGTGCAACACTCTTTTCAAAGCTGGACCTATGGTCGGGTTACTGGCAGATCGAAATGGCAGACAACTCGATCCACAAGACGGCATT